GTAGTTACAATGCAAGCAACCTTTCAACAACATGTTCTAACTGCACACAGGTCCACTTATAGTGCATTTTTTTTCAATACATATATTGAAGAATACTTTGAAAATTTGCAACAATTTGAAAAAATTCAGAACAAGTGCATAGGCTACAAATATAAAAAAATGAGAAAACATTAGGTATTTATCAATGAATGCATAAAATATATGGATATATTTTCTCTTCCTTATGATCTCCTTATTTCCATAAGAAAATCTCTTCCTTTTCTCTACTTTATTGTACTGTAAGAACACAGTATATGTAATATATAGAATGCATATAACAGACAAAATATGTGTTAACTGTTTATGTTATCAGTAAGGCTTCTGGTCAATAGTAGGATAGTAGTAGTCAAGTTTTGAGAAAGTCAAAGTTATATGTGAATTTTCAGCTGCAAGGGGTGGGGGTGAGGTCAGTGCCCCCAACTCCTGTGTTTTTCAAGGGTTAGCTGTAAAAACATGACACTGTGGTTGGATCATCAATGCTACATTTTTCTTTAAAAAAACAACATAACAAAAAGTTTGTAGATGTTCAGAAATCACTCTTTGTGGCACCATCTTGAAAATCAAAATATTTCTTTCCAAAAGAAAGACATACCTGCAGCCAGGAAACGTTTGCAAATATCAGAGAGTGTTTCCACAGCAAGTATTTTATTAGGCACCAATTAGGGGAATCAATACACCCAAAACATTATCAATTATTAATTTAAATGGGACAAGGGTAGCCAAGATAAAGTGTGTAAACATGCTGTCAAACTTTTTAAAGGAGGTAGATATTCAAATTTCTTGTTAGAATTTTATTTTTTTTAAAGCTATGATTTACCTCAGAGTAAGGACTTGTTATAATTACCAACAATGTTTTTGCATTATGAGTAATTTTCCCCTGTGTTGCCCAGTTAGCAAATCTATCTGAAAATGCCTATTAAACGAGGATGACAACACCCAAATCTGTTCAATGTAAAACAGGGGAGCACAGCATTTGAATTAATGGCTCCACTGCACACTGCATGACATAAACTCCAGTGAGCACACATTTTCCAAAAATATTCAGAGAGGAAGTAAGGACACAGAAAACCTACATCACAACCAGCTGTCCAAAACAGGAAGTTTTGTATAAACATTTGTTTATACAATTAAGTCTTTGCAACCTGCAGTTTTTTGTTTTTTATTTTTTTTAGGGAAAGTCATAATTAGGAAAAAAAAAAAGGTAGTACATACACATAAATTCATGTATGTGTGTATCCTGATATTTGTCCATAAAGGATTTATTAAAAATATGAAAACATTCCACTACTTCAAATTTGGGAGTGGACTGGAACACATCTATTACTAGCTGCTAGTGAGTCAGTTTTTCTATGCGTCTAATGTTTAGATGAACAGAAACTGCTCCTAGCACAGTTTTCAGAGCTCAGCTCAAACAGCAGCTCCTCAGAGAAATCTCCCACACCCTTCCTCAAGTCAAGTTTACCCCCTTCTGAGCTACAAGAACTCAGGGTACACCAGGATCCTTTTTCACAACATCTCTTAAACTGCAATTAAGCAATTCATTGTGTAAGTATGCACGAGTATATACAAATGTATAAGTATATATCCACAGCTGGTTAATATCAGTGTCCCCTACCAGTATGTTAAAGATTTATGAGGAAAGTTCCTATGTTCCCTTCCTTGACTCGCAAAAACAGAGTAAATACGAGACATACAAGGTCTGTCCGGAAAAAGTCCAGCCATTGTTAATATAACAAGAACAGTTTATGTGACATCAGTGTAACCTGGCAGCCAGGGAGAGTGGGCTGGAATGCACCTGTGTAAACAATGATGCATTACTGTTCAGTGGAGACAGTAGACAACATTGAGCAAGCCTGTGTACTGTGTGGCCATGACATTCAAAATGACTGAGTAGAGCAACGATTCTGCCTTGAATTTTGTGTTAAGCTTGAACATTCCTCTTCAGAAACTATTTGGACAATTCAGAGGGCCGCAGCTATGAGTAACTGGTGATTGGCAGCTTCATCATGATAATGCACCCACTCATGCATCAGGTGTCCTGCAGAGTTTTTTGGTGAAATGTGAAATCACCCAGGTGACTCAGCCCTACTACAGCCTATATTTGGTGCCCTGTTACTTCTAGCTTTTCGCAAAACAAAAATCACCTTTGAGAAGGAAGAGATTTCAGGCCCTCGATCAGGTTCAGGAAAATATGGCTGGGCAGCTGATGGCGATTGGGAGAACTGTGTGAGGTCCCAAGGTGCCTACTTAGAAGCGGGCTAAGGCGTCATTGTCCGAGGTACAGTCTTTCTTGTATCTTCTTCAATAAATGTCTATATTTTTCATATTACATGGCTGGATACTGTCTGGACAGACCTCGTATGTTAAATGAATAAATTACAATTACTGATTCATCCACCTTAATCAAGAGCAATCACTGAGCAAGCCCAGAAGAAATAGGTATTTATGGAAACTGCAAAAACTATTCAGCTTTCACACCAGGAACACCAATGTCCTTATTACTAAGGTGGCCCCACTCACTCCCTTACTTTGCCATTTAGAAGTCATGAGATTTCATTAAACCTCAATCCTTTCTTTCTACATACCTACTGGCCAAAGTTAAATTCCTTTGATATTAATTATGGATATCCTTCATAGGGCCCAGAGAAACAATTTTTAACTAAAGTGATTTTCAACAAGATATATAAGTATAATGCATCATAAAAGTAAATTTAAGACATCTTTGGAACACTTGAACTGTCATCATATAATTGACATTTCAATCACACTTGGCACCCAGTGTTTTCTTTGGGTGCAAATCTTTCCATCATTGATGAAACCCGATCCTTGTCAAGAAAAGAGGAGGTGGCCTCACCGTGTCAGGAGGATGGCTTCGCACATCTGACACGGAGCGTGGGCACGCCCTTGGCAGCAGGAATCCCAAGATCTGCTTCCCAGATTCGTAACAAGAATCTGTTTCTTCCTGTCTTCAGCTGGGCCCTGCCACTTCAGGCCATCTGCTTTACTTTTTGCTCAGTCTAGTCTAAATCTCTCTTCCCCATCTCATGGCTTTTTCATCCTTATGCTTTCTGCTTACTCATACCTTCCTTACTCCTGAATTCCTCCCTCCTTTTCTATGTCTTTTAGCTTCTAACAATACAACCAGTTAGCTAAGCTGTTCTACCTTGCGAACTCAGACTCTTCAGGGAGCTCTGGACAGGTTCAATCCCCGTCATCCCTGTGGGGCAAAATTCTTGTGCAGCCCCCATCAAGGGCACCTGGAAGGTCTGTTGGCCAGTCACCTGGACCAGGTCAGCTGCAACCAGCTTGGAGAGCAACCCTGTGGGAAAAGCCCATAAGTGTGGCTATCCTCAGACCAGGACCAGAAACTAGTTCATTTACAGAGCAACCCAAAAACTAAATTTGGGATGCAGTAAAGTGCCGTATTTTTTCAAGTGGAATAACTGAAGTTCAGGTTTGGCTTTCTCTATTTTAGCCTACTATCCTCTTTCATGTTTTCAACTTTAAAAAAAAAAGGGAAAAGTAGCAAAGATCAAAACGCCATGGTATAAATACAGATCAGTCACTGGGTCCTCTGTTCTAATGTTGACTTTTCACCCTTTACATCTATTTTCTAATTCTGTTTTCATCAGAATTCTGTTGCTTCCAAGTACAAATATAATAGAAAAGGGCCTGAGAATTTTGCTTAGAACTGTAGAAAGTTGTTGGAAGTTCCCACTGGGACCATATCCAGTTTTCTGCAATCACAAAACTCTTATTCAATCCTGTGTGTAGGAGAAGCAGATTACATACGGAAAGGAACAAAACTTTTCTTTTATCTACTTTAGGAGAAGCAGACTGCATAAAGAAAGGAAGAAAACTTTTAACTACTTTTTAATTTACTGAAAATGAATATTTTTGTAAAAAATTATTTTGATAGGCTTCTAGTGGTCATGTATGTCTCAATTACTTATAAAACCATCTTTGCAAAATTTTAAGTTAATAAAATTATAAGCACAGTATATTCTAAACCTAAGTTATTTTAGTTTAGAAAAAACATTGCTAGGGGATTTATTTCTCTGTGGCTTGGGCTCTAACGAGTAAGTTTACTATCATAGAGGGGAAAAAATCTTGGAGACAGAAAAAGATAGTAAATTATTCAAGTAAATAAATAAGCTGTTTTGTAATTTCAAATTATCATCAGTATGTCTGATGATTACTGTCATACAAATATTCATTTCATACTTTTGTAATATAAAAAAACCTACAAAGTTCAAGATTTAGAAAGACGTGTTTACTCTATGAGCAAGTATCCTAAGTGTGTCATTCACAAACTTATCAGTTATAATAAGTGCCTTTTGTGTACCATCAAAAGGAACTTTTACAAAATAATACAACATGGTCAAGGTCCTAGTCTCAATAGATTTATATGAGTACAAAAATAGGGACTCACTCATTTTTGACAACTATGGGAAAATTATGGAAAAAAGCAATTATGTTCTATGATATATGAGCATTCTTAGCTGAGAAATCAGAGCATCTTCCCGTTTCATGTACTTAATTTGTGCGTCTTCTATTCTTTGCTTCAAGCTGTTTCTTTCATCTTACCAGTTAAAGAAAATTAAAACTGTACCATTGAGGACATATGAGGAGTTTAATCTTGAAAGAAGTGAACTACAATAATGTATTATTGTTGTACTTTGATCTAAAATAATAAAGACACTGAGCCTTAAAAAGCATAATATTGTTATCATTTAAAACTAAGTATATTTGAGGAGGAATGCACATTTTGAATGATTCATCAATGTAAAGGCACTGAAGCCAACATATACCTTTGATGCAATTTGATATGAGTTGTCATGATAAACCTAAGACCCAAGGAATTATCGATGACCCATGCTCGAAGAAACCAAGGTCTAACCATTCATGCTCCAAGAAACCAAGGTGAGAACCAAGAAGTGGAACCATTTTTTATATTCTGCATTTATTTAAGCAAACCGAATGTGTAGAGATAGGAAATTCAAGCGTTATAATGTTTTACAAATACAGAAAGAAGACATAGAGTAATAATACCCTGAAGAGAGTGCATCTGAGAACACAGTTCTGTCTCAGGAGAACACCTGCAGCGACCACACTGACGCCGGCTGACATGTCCATCCATCATTCTTGTTACGGCATCGTTCAAGTAGTTTTAATAGATAAATCACTGATTTGCTTTTAAATGAGTAATACTACTAATGATTATGGTAGCCTTGAAGGGTTTGTGAGTGACTATACTATACATACGGGACGCTAGGCTGAATGTGTTTTTCGATGCCACTGTACATTATGCTGGGGGAATATGTCTTATTACACAGTTGCTGTGACATCCACTAGAATGTGAACTAGTTTGCATAGGTTAGTCCTTTGGGCAGCACGATGTTGCTCTAGTCCACCAAGGTTTCAAGATTCACAGTGTAGAGGAAAAAAAAACATGAATTAAAGCATTTCTACTAAAATATATTTTAATAGCTGGTGTTAATGATTTGCATAACAAAAGCCAAATTATATTAATAACATTGTGTTATTCATTCTGTAAGCCCCTTCATTTTAAAAACATTGTTTCTTCCCAAACTGTAAGCTCTCAAAATTAGTCGGGTCTTGTAAATTAATCATCTAGCACAATTCTACATATTTTGAAGCAAATAGAAGCCAAACTGCACAATGATTCAATTTTGCATTTTTATCACAGGTCAAAGACCAAACATTCCCACACTATGCCTGTAACAGACTTATTGCTGCTTCTAAATGCTCAGCCATTCCTTGTGTGGACACTGAAGAATGAGACTATAATGCAGATTTCTCTTTTCCTTTCAGTAAATCATTCTTAACAGCAACTGGATTACAAAGAAGTATATACTACGCAAACTGAATACCACATAGCAAACACAAAAAGCGTATGGAATTTCCATGAATACAACAGAGTAACATGGACCATTGGGGGAGACCTTTGTCCTGGGGATCCTTCCAGGCTTGTGGATTCCAGGAGACTAAACATCGTGGAGCAATGGGTACAAGAGCATCATATAATGTTGTGATTTCTTTGATCATCAACAGCTGACAGAGGCCTGGAAAGGACCGCAATGGACATGGACTACTTGAGGAGGAGGCTCTTGTTTCAGCATTCATTTTCATAGCTTCTTACATTTGTTTAAATACCTTCTTACTTAACTACGGCTTTCTAACCACCATGTCATGTGATCCAAATCGAGCACATGCCAGCCACTTTTAGATTATCAGAAGCAAATAGCTAAGGTATAATGAATTTATGCAGTGAATTTCATCTTGTGTAACGACTTCAGCCTCATAATATAATTCTTCTATCTTACAATTGGTATTTTAAATCTCAAACCTAAAATTAATGTTTATGCATCTCAACTATATATAAATCTACAAAGGATATTTCAGAAATTGATAGGAGTCACTATTTTCTACAGTTTTAAACCTTTAGAAGTAAAATACAATCAGCTTTCACCCATGATATCTGTCAGGAGCATCTCACTTCCCCACCACAAAAATACCAATCACGGGTAATAAAATATTACTATAGAATAGGCAGAAGCTCGCCTGCTTGGTTTTCTTTCCCAGACCATAGTGGATAAACAAGGGTAATCAAAAAGGCACCTATTTTTGTATACATCTATATTATAATTTTGGTATAAACTGCATCTACGCTATATAGAGATTTGTTATTAAAGGATCATTGACAGTTTCTTTATCTTTTCATTAAAGACATTCCACTGGAGATGGACACACCTGAAAAACAGATACTCCTTTTCAACTTCCGCTGTTTTAGAAAAGCCGGCTTCCCACCCCACCCCCCAGTGTTGTCGAGCTCCACACAGAGAGGGTCAAGAAAGAAAGACTGTGGCAAAACCGGCTAGACTGTATCTCCATCATCTTCACACAATGGACCTAGTGGCGAGAGCAGGGCTGATCTGGTCTCATCCGTCTTCCAACAAGGTGCTCTTGGAAGTTGTGCTTGCAAATATCTGTGTGGTGTCTGGAGATGGGGAGAGGCATGGGGAGATGCAGGGACATCTGACAACCAGATAAAATATTTCAAGTTGGGCTACAATGCTGATGCGTAAACGATAACAAGAAGACCCAAAGAAGTCGTTTTGCCACAGATGAGAGACAGAAAGCTTTCCTAGAGACCAAGAATTAGTAAAAACATTTGCTACAAAAACTTACGACAAAAGCACTATATTCTGTTGCTATGCTTTTCTCCAGAAATACATGATCCATGGACAGTTTTGGTTTTGTAACCTTGAAAAGCATATCACACTGCTCCTTGTGCTTTTACCAGGCTGGAGAACATCGGGTGGAGAAAGTCAGGTGCGTACTCTCTGCACTCGGGCACTTGCAGTCTTCTGTAACTTGAATTTGAAAAACTTGTTTTTTTAGGCCCTAGTTTAGCTGTCAGCATTATGTATGAGATCCCTCTTGCCAAATTGAAGGTGGGCAGGGGGTGTGTTGAAAGGGAAAAAGCTGTTCAAGAATTTTTTGAAAATGATGCTGTAAAAAATAGCACTTTGGTATTAAATATATAGTTCCTATATTTCTGCTGAGATCTTGATATCCTAACAAGCTTTTGGAACAATGACCACACTATCAAGTTAGAGTGTTAGGGGCACGTGACATCTTCTTCTCCCTCAGTCTTTATTGTAAAATAATGCCTTCTAGTTACATTCTGATCAAATCTTCATTCCTAACAACTGGAAGCAGGAACATCTTGCTATGCAAACGTTATGCAAAGCTTAAAATTTTAGGAGAATTTTTCCCCAAATAAATATTGACTTATTACATTTAGTGAATCTGATTTGAAATCAGTGGATAATAAAAACAATGGAACATCAAGCTGCTGCTTTATGGTAACTTTCCCCCATTATAACCATCATTTTAAGTCAGTCTCCTTTTGCGTTTCCTATAAATGTGCTATTTATCAAAAATTGTATCTGTCCTACATTTAGTCTACAAATTTAATCAATAACTATCCTTTTTTATAATCATGAAAAAAAGTCTTGGTGAAATGTATATTTACTTAATAATATCATAAAATTGAGCAATCTTTTTTCCCCTAAGTTTTAATGAACAGAAATTTTTGCAAGAATATTGCAAATTCGGTTTGTTTGTAGGTTTGTGTACAGGACACCAAAACTGATATAAGATTTAATCAATTTAATCATGACTGGTCATTGCAGTTAAGAAAAATCAGTCAAGCTGGTTATTTGGTAATCTGTAAAGCTCACTCAAAAAAGAAATCTCTGGTTATTTGCCTGAATTTTTCTCTTTTCATTTTATGGCAGTGCCATGTAGATGAAGCTTGTATGTTATAAATTTTATTTTATTTACTCTCTTAGCCAGATAGAATGAAATTATAGATGTTCAAAAGTATTTGCTAACCTTTCAAAGGTGTTAATGAATTAACTTTTGCCTTTGAACTGGTAAACATTTCAGCAAAAGATATTTTAGAAAATATTTTGTTAATTACTTTGATTATATCATGTAAGGATATGCTATCATACAAGACCTATATACTTTATTACATTTTTGTAACTGCTTTTTCAGTTTCATCTCAGCTATAGAGTCAGATCCTACAGGAATACTATAGTCCCTGTTGCATGTCCCAATAAGTGACACAATCAGAAAAACACAGTTGCTGATGGATGTTAATCTCTCAGGTGAGCTAGACTGTGTACTCAGATGAAAGTCATGACCTGCCAGTAACGGCTGCAGTCAGGGCTGTGAATCCAGCAAGAAACTGCAAGGCCACTCATTTGAAAATCAAAATCTACAAGAATTCCATTTCCAGTGAACAACTTGTTGGGCCTGCAGCTGAAATCTCTGATGACATTCCGATCTCACCCCCTGCATATGATTTAGATAACAAATAACAGAAAATGAAAAGAAAGTCTTTTCATTAACCAGTTTCAGTGTCTAGATTTCCATTCCAGAATCTGAATACCGTTTTTCAAAATAAGAAACCAGATCGTCTCTCTCTGTCTCTCTGTAGAGTCGGTAACTTTTTGCTCGCTGGTTTTCTCCAGCACACTTCATATCCCACTTTGTCACTGGCTCCTGTTAAGTTTTCTTAACTTTTAAATCAACAGCGGCATTAAGTTGATAAAAGCTGTTCAATAAACACCTAAATCGCCTATTTACTAGAGTATACATCTATTTCCTAAGGTGTAAATCCTTCGAAACTAGAGTGCAATGCAGCAGGAGAATCTCAAGCAACTTTTCAAAATATGTTTTTCTGATGAGCTGGCAACTAGAGGAAGGGCTTTTAGATATCAGCCACACTTTTGCTTTAGTAAGAGGAATGGGCAGTGCAGCTGCTTATGTTACAGAAGCTGGAACCTACATGTCATGCAGCAGGGTGAAGGCTATTAGGGAAATAATATAGATGACCTTTAATTTGCCCTTTGCAGAGTAGCTGTGAAGTTATTTGGTCCTGACATTCTATGGACCCAAGCATGTGCTTGGGTCCACAGAATGTAAATGGAGAGTAGGATATGCCTTGGTACAAATGAGAAATAAATAGACCCAAGTTGGCCAAGGAAACAAAAAATTTTCTTTGTTCAGTAGAAGTTCCTAAGTCCCTAAGGCCACCAGTCAACGTAATTTTAACCAAACTGTCATTCTGCCACTGCTAACACTTATTATATTAGGCAATTTTTCACTGGCATTGGAAATCGCCTAATGACTCCACAGCTAAACGGTGTTACTGAATTAAGAGAATTGGCTTCTGGTGATTCCAAAGTGACAGCTAAGAAGTCTCGTATACTTGTTACATTTACGGGACAATCAACATCTCTATTAAAGTCTACAAAAATACATTTCCCAGAAGGGTTCAGTAGCCAATCAAAAGAAACCAATAACAATTAGCAGCACCAGGTCTCCAGACCTCATTATTCTGTTTACAGCAGTTACTAAAACCGCTGCTGTTTTCAGCCCAGAAATCATTCCTCCTTTCTCGTACCTGTGTGCCTAATTGTCAAAGTAAGGATAAATTACCATAAAATAACTGCCAAGTTGTCTTAAAAGTATCTTCTATCTTTTAAAAAGATTAGGTTTAGTGTACATTAGAATAAAGCTCAAAGGGCAAGAGAAATAATTAATTAACAAACTCAATGTAATTTGCTGGGAGCATCCCGGTTTTCCCAGTTCGCTGCACCGTTCCGTACATCCAGCCATCATCGATGGGCTGCACATTGACGATGTAGTCGCCATCCCTGAAGGAGACCTCATCTTCATCCTGCGCACTGTAATCGTACATGGCTCGGTAGGTCCTCTGGAAAAGGAGAGACAGGGTCACACAATGAAATCCAGCATAGTCATGGCCACAAATAACAATCACAACAAACCAAGCCACTAATAAAGTAGGATTCAAAGACATGTTGGCTCTGTCATTTAGATTTTTGTGGCCATTTTGATTAATGCTCAGAATAACTAGTTAATAGCACCACATATTTGTGCTTTAGAGACCTGAATGAAGATCATATTTGGCTAACACCAATCATGAAGTAACAATGAGGATATCATACTAGTAGATTCCTTGTGTTTTATCATTTACATGTTTTCACATCACACCTTCACTTCTCAATGGTTTATCTCTGTAAGTCTTTTCCTTCCTTCAAACGGGTTGTAAAATGGCAGCACATCATTTATCCTTTATATGAAACTGTAAATGCCCATCAACAAATAAATGGATAAAGTGGTACATATATGCAATGGGATACTATCCAGCCATAAGAAGAATGAAATCTTGCCATTTGCAACAACACTTAAAGGTTGTTACACTAAGTGAAATAAGTCTGAGAAAGACAAACACTGTATAATTTTGCTTATATGTGGGACCTAAAAAAAAAAAAAAGAACAAACAAAACAAAGCAGCTTCATAGATGCAGAGAACACATAGCCGGTGCCTGAGGGGGAAAAGGGTAGGGGGATGAGTTCAAAAGGTGAAGGGGTAGAAGAGGCACAAACTTCGAGCTATAAAATAAATAACTCATGGGGTTGTAATACACAGCACAGGGAATACCATCAATAATACCACAATAACTTTGCATAGTGACAGAGGGTTATTAGGTTTACTGTGCTGACCACAACGCAAGGTAAGTAAATGTCAAATTACAATGCTGTACACCTAAAACTAATATAATATTGTATATTAACAATATGTTAATAGTAGATTTTAAAATGTAAAATAATTAAAAATCATTTTAGCATTAAAAATATGCATGGAATAAAATATTGTACATTTCTATTTTGGAGATGAACTAGAATACCAGGAAAAAAGCAACAGCCCACACTTACTAGATTTGGTGAATGCTGCATTGACCTCATGGAAGACAGGCTGGTCTGGTGCATGTACCCATAGCCTTGGGAATGGCTTTGCTGGTAGGCTCCAGGAAGAACAGGGGCTGCACATCAAACACACACACACACAGACTCCTTAAAGCAAGTCTCAACATCCCCTCCCAAACTCTCAAGTGACTTCATAATCTGCTTGAAACTTCTGAAACAAAATGTCATTTTTCAGTATCATGTGAAATTAAGGTAGTTATGTTATAAGCAATCGGTAGGTTAGTATAAATTTCAATAATTAAGGACATATTGAATACACAGGGAATCAGTTTAACGTGCAGTTAAAATATTAGAAATATTTATGTTATTCTATTGTAGTTGCTGTGTTAAAATAACACAAATACAAAAAATAAATTTCCCATAATCCCTTAACAATATCATGTTTTTACTTGGTCATGTGATCCTCTAAGCATTTTCAAAAAATAAAAGGAAGATATTTAAAGGAATATAATTGGATTGACGAACCAATGACAGAGTATAAATGTTTTCACTGGATACTTCTCATGTAACAGGACGCTCTGAATATTTCACGACATACAACTGAATGTTACCTTTACAAAGATGGGAAGCACAGCACATGTTTAGCAACATATGTTTGTTTAATGGTTAATAAGTCTGTACCATTAAAATAAACTTAGAATGTATGAACTTTCCATTTTATTTTGGCTTACGTCAAGACTAAATCAGTCAGCTGAATGTTACAAAGGCCTGAAAGACCAAAACACTTAAAGAATATAATAAACATTGTCCCTCTGTATTTCAAAACTATCAAAACAGTATTGACTTAGTTTGTGCTGTTCTCACCATTAATTATGACATTCAAAAGACATAGTTCCTATTTTGAAGAACATACTGAATTCTAGAGAAATCAACACAAAAGTTAGATAAAACCCCACAAAATTAGTGGACATATGCTTGTACATGTCCCTATAAGTACATATGTTTCAGCATTGCAAAACAGAAATTTGAGCTTTCAATCAGTGCATTTTAGTCACATATTCTTCACTATATCTTGAATTAATTATATTCTATGATACATTAGTAAAATATGTATAATATATGTGCTGTAAAAGTCCATAACAGGTTGCAACTATTGTTCACTTGGGTTGAATATATACAAAGGGGGACCCCCCCAAAAAATAATTATCTTTAGGAGGGTGAGCCCCTTGTAACACAGGCTTCCCCCATTAGGTGAATGTTCTAGGAGCCTGTTTGTATCAGTGTACCAGCTGGCATTGTTGTGAGAGGTTGAGTTCGGCTTCAGTGATTTTTTTTTTTTTTTTAAAGACTCTTTCAAGGCATTTGCCCATTTCATGATGGGTGATTTATGAGAGCACCTGCCCACACTGTTATTTTGTTTGTTTGTTTGTTTGTTTCTCCAGATGAAAAAAAGTCCTCAAAGGGAAACATTTTGCCATTGTGAAAGAGGTGAAACAAAAAAACAGCAGAAGCACTAAAAGGCACAAAAATCAATGAGTTGCACTGCTTTTGAGCAGTGGGAAAAAGTCTTGATAGATGTATTGCACAAATGGAAAGTACTTTGAAGGTGACCAAAGTTTAAACATGTAAGAATAAGTACACAATTTTTAATAAACAAATTCCAGTTTTGGAGGGTTCCCCCTTGTAAAGTAATTATGACGGGTTGATTTATTCAGCACAATTTTTATAATAAAAGAATAAAGCAGATGTAATTCTTGGGTGTTATCAATAATTAATGTTTTATAAGTGGCATGTTCATTGTAATGATATATGAGAACAGCAAACTTTAAAGAAGTTTAATCATCAGAAAATTACAAAACATTAATGTGTTCTCCAGATGATAATGACATGAGGGTGAATGGGTTCTCTTTTTTTTTAGTAGTTCTTGAATTAATTCATATTACAATGTTGTTACAAATTGTCTTTATTTAATGTCTAGATGTGGCATCAAAGAGAAATTGCCTAAATCTTTACTCAGAGTTGTAGTACATTATAAAGGTATTAAAACATTAAACATCAAATACTTCAGAGAATAGCGCTTTTTAACATTATCAACTCGATTTAAATATTTCATGTCAAGAGATATAAAAGATATTGTCAAAATTCACTTGTGAAGAAAAATTAAGAAATCCCCATAAATATGTCTAGGCCCACTTAATTAGCTGAATAAAAGGGTCTTCTCTATGTGCTGGAAACCAGAAGCATTGACTGTTTAGTCACTCCCTGGACTCTCAGCAAATATTTATTGAGTTCATGTGTGCACAGAGCTCACTACATTGCCTGTCACTTAGTAAACTTCCATAAATGTTAACAATTTTCACTACCCACTATGTGCAAGGCATGCCAGGCATAAGAGGCCTGACAAAAACAAGTGTCCTCCTAGAGCAGTGACGGCCTTTTGCCCAACTAAAGAAATGACTCAATACCTATAGCATTTCCAGTTAAATATATTAGTCAGGAGTTCCAACTGCATACTCCAGGTTGGCACTCCTGAAGTGGTTTTTGTATATTACACAAGTCATTTCATTAATTATTATTTTAATCTATCTGTAAATACTATGTAAACTTAACCATAAAAACTTAAAATAAAAATTAAACTTTTAATCCTTTTTTATACTATTTAATTATGACCTTAAATTTTGATGTACAGAGTTAAGCACAATCATTTTAAAATACTTTGGCAAAGAACTAATGGGAAAGGACAACAATGAAAAATAATAATGTTAAATATACCATCTCAGATGCTGTAGTGTGTTTATGCTTACACAGTTTGTATATAATCTCAGTTTAGTGCCTATCAGAACTAACAATTCAAGAATGTTGTTTAACAGTATTCTCTAATTTTGGCTTTCAAAAATCAAATATATTCATGCCTACTCAATTACTTAAGTTTGACCTTCAAAGGGAACCTGTAGTTATTGCCAAATACAACAGAAAATAAAAGTAATTTACCCTAAATATGAAAGCGGGTTTGAGAGAACAGGAGAGAAAGTATAGAATGAGAAACCTTGGAGTAAATATAATCTATCTAGTCCTTATGGTTTCTCTTCATGCTTTTGTTGATTATTTCCATTTTCCTTTCCAACTGCATTATTTAATGCAAGTTCCTTTGGGGTTATCAGATCTTGCCATCTACCTTATACCTGGTATAGTGAAAGAGTTTTTTGGAAGCTCCTATTAGGGCTATGAAAAACATACCTGAGAGCCCAGTGGAATCAACTTACTAAAAGCAAATAACCAATTTTAAAAAGAGGTACAGGGTAAAGGGGGGTAAGTGGTGACAGAAAGAAACTTGACTTTGGATAGTGAACACACAATACAATATACAGAGGATATATTATAGAATTGTACACCTGAAAACTATATAATTATTAACCAATGTCATACCAATAAATTCAATAATATGTAAAAAGAGGCATAGGCATTGCTTTTTTATTATTTTGTTACACAACTGCTTTTTATAAAAACAAATAAAACAAGTGAAAGGAAATGGGAAGCAATGGCTTTGGAAATGGGTTTATTAAAAATCTGATTAAAAGATAGTCATGTGAGTCCGAGGTTTCTTCCACGAAAATATGAAATTTAAAGGGTTGTGCAAACGCTAGATGTTAAACTAACTTCGCAACAAACAAGGACTTAGCATGAAAGAGAACAACGCAGTGCCCTCTTTATTAACTAATGGTCAGGTCCCGCAAGCATTGGTACAGATGGATGATGATAAAAATACAACAGTCTTACAACCCAAGAGTTTTGAGTTTGAGGGGTTTTTATTTCAATAACATAAAAATCACAATGCAATAGCTTTCATTATCCTAAGGCAACAATAAAACACAGATGTGTGACTCAACTTTCATTTTGCATTGACGGAATTTATCAACCAGCGATCTGGAAGCTGATAAAAGCTATAAGGGTTTTAGGTCAATTTGGAGTGTCCTATGTACTTGCAGAACCAAAACATCACTTCCACTGCACAACAAAGTTCATCCACAGTCAGCCGGGACTAATATTTTCAATTTAATGTTTATTCTTATTATGGGAGATAAAAAGCAAGATAAAGAAGTAAGTAGACATGAAGATCATATAACAGAAGGTGACAATGGAAGAAGAAAATTTTTAGGAGGCTTCACAAACCTGAGAATGAAAAAATGATGAAAAACATGCAACTGTAATACAAACATTAGAGTAAATGAACCAGAGAAATGTACCTACAATGTAAGGAGAAAGGATCCAAATAGAAGTCCATTCTGGGGAATGTGCCCAGAGTAGGTGAAGAAGGGTATTATATAAATGTCCTCAGTGTGCAAGAGTCTTTTATGTTGTCTTTTAGTTATCAAAACTATTCTCTTAGATAGACACATTCCCACTCTACAGAATAGAAATGCAGAGGCTGACAGATTAAGCAGGGAGGCAGTAGAACAGTCATCTCTGCACAGTGACACCACAGCAAAGGCTCCCAGTCATTAAAGATGAAGTGGAGGTTTTGAAAACCTCCCTATGTCGATAGGGTAATAGTAGGTGGCCAAACTCCAAATTCAAATAAAAAAATTAAAGTAGTGCTTTATTGATGGTTTGGCCCATTGGGGCTGCTACAACAAAATACCACAGCTGAGTGGCTTAAACAATAAATATTTATGTCTCACAGTTCTAGAGACCGGAAAGTCTAACATTAAGGCTTCAGCAGGATCAGTATCTGGTGAGTTCTGGCTTCCCGGTTCCAATTTCTATGACCTTATGTAGAAGGGGACCAGGGAGCTCTCCAGAGTCTCTTTTATAATGGCACTAAACCCATTTATGAGGGCCCAACCCTCAAGAGCTAATCATCTCCCAAAGGCCCCACCTCCTAATACCATCAATTGGGAGTTAGAGCTCAACGTGTGAATTTGGGGGCAGGTGGACACAAGGATTCAGTCTGTAGTAATGGCTAACTACGGACATAATAAAAATAATTTTGGGATTCTTCTCATAGGTTTACTTCTTGAAAAAAACAGAAAAAGGAGAAAATCACCAGAAGATTTCCAATAAAAAAATATAAGATGCAATAAAATTAGTGTCTGATTTTCTAATCTTTGACTATGTT